AAAAAAAAAATATAAAAAAAACACCCCCCCCACAAAAAAAAATAATAAAAAAAAAAATTCAAGCCGAAGGGCAATGGTGGCGGTCGGGGGGTTGGGTTTTTTTTTTGGGGGGGGGAGAGGAAAGGGGGGATCACACCGTCGTCTCGCCCTGCTTGCTGTTGGTGAGTCGCGTGTAGAACTTCCTCCAGGAGTGCAGGGTTTTACCCGACCATATCCAAAAGCCGGAGGTGATGCCCACGATGAGAGTCATGAGATACTTGATCATGTAGACGGTGAAATCGGGGGTCATGCGGGGGGTGAAGTGGAGGGGGCAGGGGATGGCCAAGCTCTTGCAGTTCTGGCTGATCCAGCTGCGCTCCCAGTGCTCGCGGAACGCCTGCTCGTAGAAATAACAAGCGATGACGATGGTGGCCGGGACGGTGTAGAGGACGCTGAAGACCCCGATACGAACCATCAACCGTTCCAGCTTCTCCGTTTTGGTCCCTCCGTGTTTCATGATGGTGCGGATGCGGAAGAGGGAGACGAAACCGGCCAGAAGGAAGGAAGTACCGATGAAGAGGTAGACGAAGAGCGGGGCCAACACGAAGCCCCGGAGAGGGTCGATGTTGTTGAGGCCCACAAAGCAGACGCCGCTCAGCAGGTCCCCATCAATCTGCCCCATGGCCAGGATGGTGATGGTCTTGACGGCCGGCACGGCCCAGGCGGCCAAGTGGAAATACTGGGAGTTGGCCTCGATGGCCTCGTGGCCCCACTTCATGCCGGCGGCCAGGAACCAGGTGAGGGAGAGGATGACCCACCAGATCGAGCTGGCCATGCTGAAGAAGTAGAGCATCATGAAGAGGATGGTGCAACCTTCTTTCTTGGTGCCCTGTACCACCGTGCGGTAGCCATCCTCCTGGAAACGCTCGTTGCAGACCACCCTCTCCTCCAGCACAAAGCCAGCGATGTAGGCCACCGACACCATGGTGTAGCACCCCGAGAGGAAGATGATGGGGCGCTCGGGGTAACGGAAACGTTGCATGTCCACCAAGTAGGTAGTGACGGTGAAGAAGGTGGAGGCGCAACACAAGACGGACCAGATGAGGATCCAGATACGGGCAAAACGGATCTCGTCCTCGTTGAAGAACATGTGGCCATCGGGCCGGGTGGGCTCGCAGGGCGCTGCGCAGTCCTTCTCGCCCAAGAACTTGTAGTTGAGGTAGCTGGGCACCTTCAGCGCCCGCGGGCAGTGGAAGGGGTGGTCAAGGGTGGCGTAACGAGGGGCGCCAGGGGTGCCCTGGCCGGCCAACGGCGTAGCACTGGTGAGCAACGCCGGCGAACCGCCGTCCTCCGAATGGTTCTGCCCCACGCAGATCTGCTCGGCGCCATGTCGGGGGAAATTCTCGCAACGTAATCGTTCCGGCCATTGGAAACCAAATTTATTCATGAGGGCTTCGCAACCCTGGCGAGCCCGCTCGCAGATGGAGCGGCACGGCGGGATGGCCTGCTCCAGCACCGTGCAGACCGGCGCGTACATGGAGCAGAGGAAGAACTTGAGCTCCAACGAACACTGGACCTTCACCAAAGGGTAGAACTGGTGGACTTCCAACCCCGCGTCCTCCTGGTTGGTGTGACCCAGTAGGTTGGGCATGATGGTCTGGTTGTAGGCGATGTCGGTGCAGAGGGGGATGGAGATGGGTTGGCAGAAGCCGTGGTCGGGGATGGAGATGCCCTTCTCGCCGTGCAGTTGGCTCCGGCACGGCGCCGGCACGCTCAGCCCCACCAGCAGCCAGGCCAGGGCGGGCAGCACACCGGGGCGACCCATGGTGCCTTGAGCTGCTGCGCCCGGATTTACTGTACCCGGTGCCCGGACGGTCCTCCTGTCTGGATCTGCCGTGCCCGGTACCGCCTGGATGGCTCCCAGTGAACGGGTCTGCCCGGGCCACGGGCC